TATATATATATATAAATAAAAAAACACACCATCTTATAGTACCTCCTGATAGTCCAGCATATTCGATAATCTGGCACCACCTAGGTCTCAAAGGTCCCAGATTATTGGAAGTCTACTGTACTTATATCATAGTTCCCATCAGCACATTTGGAAACACTAATGTGTTCCCTGGACCTCTCCAAGTGTTATCATTATACCGTTTCCCCCCATTATCCATCCATAACCACTATGCCCTTGGTGCAGAGTGATGGATGTCCTGTAATTCAAAAAAGTTTGGGGGTTTTATGAGAGGCTGTGTTGCAGCAATCAATTGTATCTCTTTACCTTCCACTGATGCTTGTTTAGCTAGTTCATCTGTCCTTCAGTTCCCCTTGCTATGAGAGTCCCTTTTGTGTGGGCCCTCACTTTTATCACCGCTACCTCAGTAGGTTTCTTCATGGCTGCATGACGTTTCTCCACTATCCCACCATTTTGTATTGGGGATCCTGTATTCATCAGGAATCCCCGATTTACCCACAAGTTAATATAATCAAGTACAACCCCAAATGCATATCTAGAATCAGTATATATGTTTACAGCATGACCTTTCTCAGATTCACACTGTAACTAATGCCTATAGTTCTGCTACTTGTGCAGATGCCCAGATAAACTGCCATGCGCCATCAGCTGCCCATCTTGAGAACAAATGACCCATCTGTGTGTCACTTGCAGTCCACATAAAAGGAAGAATCATCTCGGTGTAGGCAAGGGGCACCAGGTATTTCAGTTTCTTTTACCAATGGAAGGTCCATTGGCTCTTCCTTAACACAGCAATGATGTGGGTGTCCCTCATCTGGGATAGGCATGAGGGGTACATCTAAACTACATGGCTCCATCGATGGATCCATATAGATTAGGCTGATCGGCAAAGGGAAATGAAGCCGTGATTTAAATAATCGCGGCTTCATTTAAATGATCAGCTGTTTGTCGGCTCAGCGCGCTAGTATGGACACTCCCGCGCAGACCTGAAAGCCCTTTATCGACCTCCCCGTTATGCCTCATAGGATGAGGTTTACTGGGGAGGTCGATAAAGGGCTTTCATGTCAGCAGGGGAGCGTCCAGACTGCCCCGATCTGCCGACAAACAGCTGATCGGCAGAGCACGGCAGCCATTTAAATTTAAATGAAGCTGCGATTATTTAAATCGCGGCTTCATTTCCCTTTGCCAAACAAATAAATCTACATGGCTCCGTCGACGGAGCCATGTAGTCTAGACGTACCCGAGGGTGGCAGGGTTTAGCGATGGTGCTCGTTGCAGATGTACCGAAGGCATTAGCAAGCTCGTTTCCCATCGAGTCCATCTTGCCACATGGACTGCTAAAGATTTCTTTCCTGATAAAATAGCAAGGACAGCGTGAGGTACGACAGTATTTACATCCTGCACACCAAGAAGTGGTGAGGCCTGACTTAGGGCCATAGAAGCTCCTTCCACTGCCTGGAGGCATGGTGGCATTGCTTGAGTGACAGTATCTAATTTTGAAGAGTACTGGGCACTGTTT